CACGCCCACCACCAACCTTATGCCCCTTGCATCCTCCGTCCTCTGCCAGACCCTCCAGGCACGGCCATCTAGGCCATTCTGAGCTGCCAGGCAGCGGACTAGTGCCTCGTTCGAGACACTCGCCCCCAGGCCCGGAATCCAAATCGCCGCCCTTCTAAGTCTCAATCCTTCCGGATCGACTTTCACCAGGTTTGCGAGCCCCCAGGGCCTGACGTTGATCAGCTCCCTGCGAAACCACTCCCTGGTTTCTTCATCCATCATCTTGATCAGGATGTGGCTCCTCCACAGCCTAACCGAGCGTATCCGGGGAGGTGTGTATTGCCCCCCCTGCATGATATACATGCTTATGTGGAGGTTAAGAGACCCTATGAACCGCAGTAGGTCCTCGGAAGACAGGTCAGTTTCCTGTCCCCTGAAGCCCACCACCAGTTCAGGCTCACCCGCAGCCGCTTGTGCATAGGACCGAGCCCCCTCTCAGAGCCCCCCCGGGACGGTCGGCCTTTCCCGGGCCCAGCTTTCGCCGGGCCGCGTGTCGGCCGCCGACCCCCGGCAGGTGCCCAACCTGGGTGGTCTCTCCCATTTTTTTTTCCGCTTCCCGCCTGCCGTTTCCGGTGTGCCCCCTATTGAGCCCTCCGTTGACGGCGTGGCAGGATTCCTGGGCGCCGGAAGAGAGCCCGTCTGCGGTTCCGAAACCGTCACCGCGAGTCTCTTCTTCTTCGCCCTCCTTTTTTCCGCCCCACTCCTATGTCTGGGGCGGTGTGTTATCGAGGTGATGTTCCCGGTTTGTACCGAGCCCTCCACCCCGCTGGCGACCTGGAGATCCTGTTCAGATCGGCCTTGGAGGGGGCCTTCCTGAGGATGCCCCTGCCCCCTGGGGCCCCTCCTCCTTCTCCTTTACACATTTCATTTCTGGTTCCATAAAGGTCCCACGAGTAGCTAGGGAAACAAACGATCCACCTCTGCAGAGCCCCGCATGCAGCGGTAAGACTTCTTTCCCCGAGGTGCGCCCGGTGCCTCGGGAATGGGATCGGTAGAGACTGATCTTCTATCCAGCCATGCATCCCCTAGGCTCGACCTCCCACCGTAGGATTTAGGATTTTTATGGAGGTTTACTCCTCTTGGTCCGAGTGGTGAAGCTCAAACCCCCCGCGTCGCGTGCCCACTCGTCGAGCCGGCACCCGACGCCTGCTTTATCAATCGACTACAAGCCAGTTGGCACCGTTATACCCTGTGCAGGACCTTAGTCACGACACGACAGCTGGGCAGGGTGAGCTGGTCCACGATTGGTTATTTGTCAGCCCTATTGGATTTTTACCTCCTCATGCCTCCTTATTCCCAACCACCCAGGCCCGTGAGAGCCTGGGCTCCCCTATCCGCCACCCGGGGGAAGCGCCTCATGGATTGCTCAACCACAGAGGCAATAAATGCACTATATTTTTGGTCATATTATAACTATGGTCCGACATTGACGAGCTGCTTATTTTTACTGGTAGAAAATTAAAATGTGAAAATATGTTATCTATACACGTTGCCTTTATTTTACCGATTCGGGTTGGCTGCGATATCGTTCGAAGGAAAATATTTAAAAGTGCAACTGTGTTGTCGTCGACTCCTTTTGATAGCATATTTTGCTGTTATATATTTTTCCAGCATTTGTGATAGTTTCTCTGCCAAAGTTATAGAATTAGTTGGAATAAGAAACCTATATCTACAGCAGAGAGTAATAATTTCGGATTTTGCGTTACATTGAACACTACACACAGTTCAAAAGTTTTCTCAATACCTATATCATATTGCACTTTGGATACTGATCAAGTCTTGTTAGCAATAATGCCAACCCCTCCACGGGTATGGTCCGTCCTGCTAAAAGAATTTACTACTTCATAGTCCCCGAAGGACAGGCAATTTTAAGCTGGTCATCCTTAATGTTTATATTGTTATTACTTCTCGGGAAATAATATCGGGTTAACGAGTCTTCCTTTGGGCCATAGGTTTTCGTTTCATACCTTGTCTTTGCGTTCGAATGGGATGCAGGTCCTAAATGATAAGATTCTACTGCCATTTTTAACAAGTAACATACCGCTTTTTTTTGTCACATCTAAGATGTCTAATGCCAGTCTTGGACACTAGATGGTATATTGGAATTTATTATATTAGGTATTCCAGTCTCGATATCAGAGCCATCAGAGCATTGATTTGGATAAGAAAGAAAATGATAATATTAATATAATAAAATTGTTTCAAAAAATATACCTGGAAGGGTGTTATTGGACTGTTTGAAAGTTATCGCGAGCAGAGGCTAGCATCCTTGGTTCATTCATAAATGTTACACTCTCCTTCGAATCCGTTTAAGCTACAAACAATAGCCAAATAGCCAGAAACAATTGCGGTTTTCGGTCGGTTGGCATTTGTAGTCGGCCGCAAATTGCAATTTGGACCGCTAAATGGCCACTAATTACGTTTCGACACCGGTAAGGGCGAGACTAACGATCCGGCCGTAGCAGTGGGAAGAAGCAATCGTCCCGGAACACAAAAAAATCGCGTCTGAGAACCATCAGCCCACGTCCGAACTTCCGTAAATGATTTTTGGAAGCAATTCCGTTTTGGTTTCAAAGGGCGCTTCGCGCCTAATTACCCTCCGGCGTCGGTTATAATTAAACCGTAACCGGCCGGGGTCCCGGTTAATCTTAATCCGAATTTGACGGAGGTTTGCCCCCAACCTCCTTTCCTTTTTATCCGAAAACTCACGGGAAAGTCTGCTCTATACCAAAATAACACCACTGCGTCCTGCAGATCTTCGCAATACTTCCAGTTTTGATATTTATACTATTTGGACTTCTTTTAGATGTCGGTTAATATAATGCGAGCTTTCCGCTTTCCGCAGATGTGCGTGGTAAAATCAAACTAAACTATATTTTGTTTCAATATGACAGACACAACAATCATATATTAAAACATCAACACATCAACAATCATCTTTTAAAACATGGCATTTTTTTCAAAAGGTGAAATAAAAGTATTTTTGCGAAAAATATGAGTTAATATCTTTCTAATCATAACGTACCTTGAACTGTCATGAACCATTTGTTCCTGAAAAGTTGTCAATAGTCATTGCGTTGACAAAGGGGGAGTTATAAGAGAAAGAAAGAAGTTATAAAAGAAGAGTTATAAAAGAAGCCAAAGCCTAAAATTGACGAAGACAGATTTTTTTTTCAGCCGAACGCTGACATCACGGGAGATTAGCAGCCAGATAGGCGTACCCCAAGGTAGTGTTCTAGGGCCTCTACTATTCGTGTTGTACATTAATGACATTGAAAAAATTCTTTTGTGAGTCTTTTCGCGGAAGACACACTTCTATCAGTATCCGGAAAAAATTGCAATCAACTTGCTGAAACAATAAATTTCGAACTCAGCCTTTTGCACAACTGGCTTTAAATTAAAATTAAACGCAACTAAGACTAAATACATGATATTTGGTACTAAATACAACTGCAAACTATTCCTGGAAAGTAATTATCCAATCTACATTGATAATCAGCCAGTGGAGCATACTAATCAAATGAAATATCTAGGCGTAATGCTTGATTCGCAACTTAATTTCTCCAAGCGTGTTGATTTCATGTGTGCAAAGATTGACAAGGTTTTTTCAGAAGAGGCTCTCAAAATCTTAGCCACTGGACTCGACTTCTTATATTCAATACTATAGTATACCCACATTTTGCTTATTGCAATTCACTTCTAATATCTTGTAACAAGTCAGACGTACAAAGGAAAGCAAAGCAATGCGAACTATTTTATCTTGTTCCCGATACAGTCCTGTTCGTCTTATGCCTGAATCGCTTAGTTGGCTCTCTATGTCCCAGATCATTAAAACATCTAACATTGTATTAATTTTCAAAATTCGACAGCAATTGCTACCCCCATACTTACAGGAATATTTAATTCCAAGGTGCATGAAACATGCCTATAATATCCGATCTAAAAACAACTTCGATATTCAATTAACCAGAACGACTATGCAAAAAAGTCTTTTCAATGATGGCCTGAAAAAATTTAAAAACATGTATCTGAACTTCAGCTAGATGTATACTACAAATTTTGTATTCTTTGTCGTTCTGGGAACGTATAGTTAAGTAGTTAAGTATTATTATTATTATTGTTATTATTATTATTATTATTATTATTATTATTATTATTATTTGTTAAATTTACTATGAATACTTATATTTTTATGTACATTTGTTTAAAATAATAAACTACCACTTTACTTTACTTTATCATTTGAAATATATCTGAGAAAGCTTGTACGAATCAAAACATTGCTTTGTAAAAATGTTTTTAGTCCGTCTACACTCCAGATAAATAATAAAAAGGTTTCTTCAAATGTTTTTTGAAAATATTTAACTAACCCAATGTGTTTCGGATAAAAATATCGAAAATAGTTAACATCTCGAAAATCGGTAGACATAGCTATAGCGAAATATTTTACAAAAGCTATCACAAAGTGAGAGCAGATGGAACATTGGCGGCAATACTTCGATACTGAAAATATTTTAAATCGTTAGAGGAGAGAGAGGAGAGGACCAAGACCAAACGTTCAATCTTCCATCAGCCGCGAGTTATCCTGTAAATTATAAATCATTATTAAAAGCTATTGTTTGCCGTCTATATAGCATTAGATTTCAATTAAAGATGCCGCTCCTCTTCAACAAGTCAGTTTTGAATTTACCACCAGATTCCTAACCTATTTTCTGATTTATACGCGACTTTGCAACGTTTTGTTAATTTTCTTGAAATTATAGAATTATAATGAATTTTTGTAACTTCTCCGTCCGGCAATATTTTCATCACACTATCAACCTTACATTGATTTATTATAATCAAAGACATCGAAAATGCAGGAGTTAAATGCATTTAATAAAAAACATGAGACAAAAGCAAAAAAGACGATTTATTCGGCGCTCTGGGAAAAATTTTGAAGTGCTTTGTCATTGTTTCAGGCACAAAGGCTTTCTAAAGGACTGTCCCAACGGGCTCTTGACGGAACAGGTGAGTCACAAGACAAGGTGTCTATCGCGTATCCGTAATACGTTTCGTGGTCGTTTAGCGTTAATGTTAAGTGATATTGTTTCAGGGGTTCATCAAAATATACAAACAGTTCTTCCCTCAAGGCGACCCCTCCAAGTTCGCATCGTTAGTGTTTAGAGTATTCGACGAAAACAATGTGAGTTCTGCGTTTTCGATTGCCTTAAATTCAGCAGCTTATCAAATAATCAGCCTCTCTGATCCGCACTCAGTTTATCTCAAAATGCTCAGTGAACTCGACCGCTGATTGTTTGGTACGCACTACTGAGCCGATTTTTGTTGGCTACGGAGTGCCGCAAGGTATCGTATTCGAGCCTACAACTGAGTAAACTTAATTGTTATTTTTTCTTTTAGGACGGCTCGATAGAGTTCGAAGAGTTCATTAGGGCGCTTTCGGTGACGTCGAGGGGTAACTTAGACGAGAAACTTCAGTGTAAGTTGTGTCTGTTTTTTTATTTGACTATTGGGGTGGGTACATATATATATATATATATATATATATATATATATATATATATATATATATATATATATATATATATATATATATATATATATATATATATATATATATATATATATATATATATATATATATATATATATATATATATATATATATATATATATATATATATATATATATATATATATATACATATATATATATATATATATATATATATATATATATATATATATATATATATATATATATATATATATATATATATATATATATATATATATATATACATATATATATATATATATATATATATATATATATATATATATATATATATATATATATATATATATATATATATATATATATATATATTTTTTTTTTTTTTTTTTTCACGTATTGATTCACGGATGGAAAAATGTGATGACACTATATTCCGGGATATCATCCGTTCGCTCGTTGAACTCCGACTGGAATCCTGCAGACGTTTCGCCAAAATCTCACTTCGCATCTTCAATGCTCGCGCTCCGAAAACACTTCGAAGTTCGAACGGATGATATCCCGGAATATAGTGTCATCATATATATATATATATATATATATATATATATATATATATATATATATATATATATATATATATATATATATATATATATTAAAATTCGAAAAAAATATTTTTAAGGAAATCGATCAACAGAAAATGTTCAAATTTTTTACCAATTTCTGAAACGGCCACAAAATGGCGTAATTGCCATAATAAATTTTAAAATCCGGTTTTAAAATTGTCTCGTATTTTTTCTTATTGTTCTATCTCCTAAAGAAAAGTTGTGACGGTTGTTCAAGCGCTTTCGAAATAAATTTCAGTAACCCCGAAAGGGGTTAACACAGCTTAAATAAGTACGGAGTCGTTAAAAGGATCTTTTCATATTCTATTTGTCCCGCATCTCAATATATTTATCCTAACTTAAAATATGAATCAAACAACTTTTTAGTCTACAGGTTGTTATTAATGTCTAATTATCTTTAATTGACCCCATAAAACGCTAACTTTTAAAATCGAAATAAAATGTTTGAATAAGCAGTAGTAGTACTAACTTGTCGTAGTGTGTTGTCGATTAACAGACAACGCAAATGGCATCCGGGTAAGGGACATAATAGATGTATGATAATAGATGTATGAAAGCAATCTCTGCAAAATCACACAATTTGGAAACAATTCTTTTTACACAAAAATATATTTGTGAAAACCAGATGGACATGGTCGAGTATACAGACAGACTAGAGAAAGGTTCGTAGAATGTAATCTTGTACATAATGTATCATGCATTATTTGGGACAATTTGCGCTTCTTGAAGTAAATTTAAGAAATAATGTTGACTGGTACATACGCATTATTTTCGAAGGCCATGGTTTGAGTTATTTTACTTTTGTTGGGTATGATAATCAGTGGGTCAATATCTGGAGCATGTCAGGTTTGGGTCCTGACGCAAATTCTATAGATCATCTATGGAACATCCCCAAATGAAATATACAGGCAGTAATCTAGCTAACACCTAAACTGGACAATTAAAAATTATTGCAAAGAAAGAATGGAATCTCATTGAGAACGAAACCATCCAAAGTCTTCTGCGCAGCATATCTAGGAGGATGGTATTGGTCAAGCTAGAGCAATTGTCAATACCTTAAAATATTGGTATATTGTTGTTATTATTCTTATTTTCAAATAAATCCGATAACAAAAATCAGACTGCTTTATGCTTTCTTTTACAAATATATTGTAAAGCTTAATTCCATGTAATAATAAAAATGTATTAAGGGAAAACAATAAAAAATAGACAACTTAAAATAAAATAAGTGATATTTTTGTCTGTGACTGTATTATGAGAGAACTAAATCACACTTTTATTCTGGTTCCGGATAATGTGAAGAACTAAAATTGTCGATAAATGAGCCTCTTTAAATCGTGTCAACTCTGTTTCAGCGCTAATGTAGAGGCCCGCCATTTCAAAACAATCACGCAACAGTAGCTCATGACATCACGGACGCTCCAAAGGGCAAATAATTAATGCCGTCGTCAGGCCTGCGAAGCAAGTTTGCAAAGAAACGCGACAATAAAAAACGGGATACCGGGGAGAACCGTATCCACAAAAAAAATGACCGACTGGGGAAAGAAGATTGGGGGTTGTTGTTCAAATAATAACCCGCGACCGCGCGGACGAGCTTCTCTATAATGAACCTTTGTTTATTTGTTGAGAGCAATGGAAAATTATCTTGTTTTCGTTTGCGCAGAGGCATTTACACGTCCGTAAACAACAGACAAAACCTGCGCAACGGGGGCGGTATAATCCACCGGGATCGAAATCTCGAACTCGCATAAATCGAGCCCCAAACCCTCGTTAGTGCGCTTTTTTTATGCCCCCACGATAAATTGCTTCGCGTATACACAATCTCTGTTATTTATGACTGGCAACCGTTCACGTAGGCTCTTCTTCTTCTTTATACTTCTATTATTGCCTAAATCTGTAACATCATTCGGCCATTTCATAAATTAATAGGATCTTCTTTTTTTTCTATTTGTCAAAACACATATGCCATGACCTTTATGTTAACAAAACTCTACGTTCGTTCTGGTAGAGCCCAGAAGTAATTTTAAATTGCAATATTCCAAAAAAAATTGTTTCGAGTTCCAAACGGTTTAGAACTTGAGTTTGCTCTTCCGACAGTGTTCAAGGATTGTTTTCAAACGAAAACAAATTCTATGATTTTATCGGTATAAGTTCGCCCATGCTCCAAAACTAATTTAGCAATGAATATGAACTAACAGTTGCCTTTGGAGTGTTGTCTCTGGTCTGGTCTCACAATTGTATTGAAATTTTGAAAGCCGGGAAGTACCCTTTGTAGGGTATGTTTATTATATTTGCTAAACTTTCATTTAGTTGTTCAGATTCACACCTACATTTAGAAAAATTTCTTCTAATTTTTATCCAAAACACTCTTCCACCAATGGATTAGCTTTGAACTGACTGATAATACGCTCTTGTTCAATTCGAAATCTGTAATTAGTTCAAAAACGGGTAGGGATTCTTTCAATGAACTTTCAATAAACTCTGTCTATCGAAATGGATACTGGGTAGTAATGTGGATGTGTTTGCTTTGTCATCCAGCAGATTATTGTAATACGAGATTGTTTACATTTATTGTTCAATTTGCTTTTTTTGGTGCTGAATCATTTGTTAACGTCTACTTAGTGATATCATTTCAATCCTCTATCCTTCTTTGAACTAAGTAGTTGTGATACATTGTGACTATTCTTGTTATATGTAGAATACCTATCAGTAATGTCTTGCTGGTGATAATTAATAAACATTTTTTTAAACTGAGTTCAATTTAGGGGAAAAACTTTTCTAAACCTATGTACTAACTGTACAACACGTTTTTTGATTTTTGCAAGTGGCGTCCATCTGCAATTTGTACCATATATCTTTCAAAAAAATGTTACGTCACCTACATTTTTTCAAGGGAATGTTATATTTGAATTGTCTATTCATTACTGCATAAAAGTCACCTCTTGCATGTTTCTTGTAAGTTGCGATTAAAGTATTTCAATAAAAAGTGCTATATTGTGCAGCACTGGCCAGATATAACAGATAATAACAGATACTTCATATGAAAGGCTTAATTTATATTATATTTATATATGTTGAAAACCGTCACCTTTACTTAAGTTCGTGTAGTATCTTATTTGTTCGCTACTTCTAATCTTCTAAGTGTTAAGATATCGTTCCTTAGATAATATAAAAAATTTAAGTACGAGGTGTGTTGAAAAAGTAAGGTGACTTTTAAGTTTCATCAAAAAGTATTCATTTATTCATCAAAATTAATGTAATTCCCCCCAGACTTAATACACTTGCGATAATTTTTTTTCAATCCAAGTGCTTCTGGTATAGCCTTGAGTTCTTTCAATGATTTTTTCTTTATCTCCTTAATCGTTCCAAACCTCCTTCCTTTCATGGGTTTTTTGAGTTTTGGGAATAGGAAAAAGTCGCTGAATATGGTGGCTGAGGCCTGATTGTCGTTTTGCTTTTGGTCAAAAAGTGACACATAAGCAGTGAACAGCTGCATTATCGTGATGCAAAATCCATGAATTGTTTAAAAAAAAATCCAGACGTTTTCTTCGTATTGCGTCTCGCAAACGGCGCATAACTTCAACTTATTGGCCGTACGACATTATGGTCAGAACTCTTCATGTACTTCGCCACGATAATCAAATAAAACAGTAAGCAAAACTTTGACATTGGGACGACCGACCAGTGACCAGTTATGAATTTTTTGAGCATAGCAGGATCATAATTAAAGCGTTTAACAGCTCTTGAGAGATGCTCAATTGGTGGTCCTTTTGTTCAAAATGAAGCAGGTTCGGAACAAATTTTGTGGCTACACGTTTCATGCTCAAAACTTCCGAAACAATTGCATAGTACGAGCCAATAGAGATACCGACCTCTTCAACCACTTCTCTGATAGTGATTGGACGATTTTTTAACATTATTTGTTTCTCTTCTTCAACGCTTTCATCAGAACAGCTTATACTTATTTTTTTTTTGTTCAAAGTAGATTCACCATATGCCTTTGTGAACACTTCAAGTATTTTGCAGCACTGTGTTCCATTTTTTACACAAAATTTTATGCACATTCTTTCTTCCATTTTTTTTTGCAGCAGAAAATCGCCGACCATATAAAGCACGCTTCTGTCTCACAAAAAAGCAAACGTGCAAACTGGCTGAAGCTGTGAACATATGTTAGGGACATGTGTACCAACATAACAAAAAAAATCGAAGATCTAATATACGCAGCCCGCCCAATTAGAAAAGTCACCTTACTTTTTGAATACACCTCCTACATCAGTAAATAGAGCAATAAACAGTCCCTATTAAACCTGCATCACCTATTAATCCGTTGCCATT